CGTGTATGAAGGCATGTGAATCATTAAAAGTCTATCTTGGTCGCTTTGTTTGGACTCATAATCTCTCAATTTTGCCTCAATATCTGCTTCAATACCTTGCACATCTCTTTTGTATTTCTTTGTTGATTCATGGAGGGTTTGTTTAGCATACTGGCAATAATCTCTGTTGACCAAAACCATATTAATAAGAACTTTCAATAATCTAGTATATTCCAAAGAGTATTCGCTCTTCATCATTTTGATTCTTTCGCAATGATCTTTGTACAAGTTGAAAGCACTTTCAATATCCTCGCTTGTGATTGGTTTTTTAGAATCTGACTCTTGCCATATGGTACCCAACTTCTTGGCAACTTGAAAAACGCGTAAATCTTCCTTGTGATATTTTGAAAGTGGTACATAGGATGCTGCAGCTCCCTTTTCTACTTCATAAAGTGCTTGACGAACTTGAACTCCGAGTACCCACGGATAAGTTGGTGAGGACTCTTTTGCTTGCAAACCAGCCATATACTCATCATAAGAGAGTGGTTCCTCTTTAGGTAATTCAAGAAAAGGTTTTCCGTTCTCGTCGTATTTTAACTCGGCATTCTTGTATTTTTCAGTGGCCTCTTTGATGGCCATTGCTTCCTTGTAGAGTCTTCTCTCCTCATTTCTAAAGGTTCTCAAAGGTCTTGTTAATTCATGTTCGTTTTGTTCAGCCAAATTCAATTCATCCTCATCAAACTGATGTTTCTTGTAGGAACATTTTTGAATACTATTTACTGATGAGAGAGAAATGATTGCCGAGTGATGATGAGTGGAAACAGCAACACCCGAAAATACCTTTGATGACGATGAAGAGGAAGAACGAAGAAGAGCTCGGCTCAACATTTTTTTTTCAAAATTTTCATAATAAAAAATATTCATCAAGCCTTGTTTTTCATCCAAGTCTGAAATTGTTGTCGGGAGTTGAAGAAGGACAAACAAACATCGCTGGAAGGAATATTGCTACAAAATCCCGAGACATCCTTGAGCAATGTAATCATAATTTTGTTTGTTCTGATGGAGGAAACATTCCATAAATTTACGGACATTTCAAATTTAAAAAATGTCTTCAGATCAACATCCTTGCAATTACTGTTCATTCTAGTAGCACCTATATTCCAATGGAATGCAAGGGATGCTGGTCACAGTTCTATGATCTTTGTGAGAGTTGTAAAGATCAATACATTTGTCAAGATTGTGGAGAGTATATTTGTGAAGATTGTAGCAACCGGTTTACTGTTACTAGCAGTCATTCGAGCAACATGTGCATGAGGTGCCACCGTGAAGTAGATGATTCTGGAGAGAAATTTTGCCCAAATTGCTGTTTCTTGTGTAGCTTTTGTCCAGGAATTGTTTGTAAAGAGTGTCATCAAGGAAACAAGATGAGCTTTAGGAATACTTGTCATTGTTGTAAGCTCTCGATGTGTGATCGTTGCAACGAGCATTGTTGTTCAAAATGCTTTTACAACATTTGTGTTTCTTGTGTCAAATATTGTACGTTTGAGAATTGCTGCAAAGTAATTTGTACAAGCTGTTGTAGAACACAGAAATCGGTGAAATGTACTCTTCACAACTCAAAGAAAAAGAGAGACAGATGCAATTCCATGATATCCCAAACACAACAACTTGGAGACATTATTTTTGACTTTAACAGATAATCATTGAGAAATACACGGCATGGATTGGAATACATCTATCTCTGCAGAGGACTTCAAATTGAAGATTGGCAAAACCACTCACCCTTGTTCAGCAAATTTTTTCCCGCGTTTCAAATATTTTACAGCTCGCAAAAATTGAAAACATCAAACCTTCTAGGAATTACAATTACGAGAGAGAACAGTCAAAGGTGCAGTTCAATCCCGATCCTATCTATTCGTTTCTTCTAGTAAACAATTGATATCATGAACGGATCATTAAACTTGAGCAGTATTAACGGAGAGAGCTCGATCGAGTCGAGTAGTTTGTTGGACACTTCTACCGACGGAGGGGCCTACAAAAGTGCAGAGAACGACTTGGGTGGCACTGTTGAGAGTCATTATGATCATGTTCATGTTTGTATTCGATTGGCTCCGGTGCCAGGTAGGTTACATTAATGGTTATGCACGAATGGCACATTCACTGTTTGAATGATTTTCTAAATCAATCTCAACAACAACAACAGCCGAAGAATCAAGTGCCAATGCTCAAAACATAATTGAAATTTCCGATGTCAACAAACTCATTGCATATCATCCAGAGAGTAGAGAAGGATTATTATACAAATTTGATCACTGTTTTGACAGTGAAACGTCAAATAATGAAATATTCGAATCGGTTTGTGTGCCCCTATTGAATGCTGTCATTGAGGGATATAATGGCACAATTATTTCTTACGGTTCTTCAAGAACTGGTAAAACAGAAATGATGATTGGAAATGAGCGAGAGGAAGGAATTGTCGATCTGACATTTCGAGAAGGATACTCTTATTTATCTTCAGTGGCAGATAAGGTTGCGTACTCGATCTCATTTTCGTTTTGGGAAATGAGCAATGACACAATATTGGATTTACTTGATCCTGACGATGAAAAAGAGTTGAAACTTAAAAAACACACCAAACAAGGTGTATTCATTACAAATTTGAAAGAAATGCAAGTGGAGAGTTGGGAGCAATTGCAATCATTGATTGACGATGGCATTCGACGAAGTCAAAAATTGACAGCTCAACGAAAGATCAGACTCCATTCGTTCATGAGATTGAGATTGACAAGAAATGACTTGGACCATCCAGAACAAGATGTCTCCTCCTCGCTCATGTTTGTAAATTTGAAAGGAACTGAAAGAATTGGTAAAATGGGAGCCAAGGGCGAACATTTGAAAGAAGGAGCAAGCTTGAACAAGAGTTTGACTGCATTCGGTAATGCCATCCACAATGTTGTGCATCATACCAAAGTCAAGGGAGCAAAAACCTCAAATGTGAATATTAATAGCTTATTTGGAGATTCAATGGTCACAGCTGTTCTCAGCGAGGCACTCGGAGGGAAAAGTGCTTCAGTGATCATTGGCTCCATTTCACAAACAGAATTCCACTATTTGGAAACCATGGAAGCTTTGGAAAATTTGAGAATTGCCAGACACATTTCTACATTCCCAAAAAAGCAAATACTCAACACGAAGGTCATAGAAATACTCAACAGGATCAAAGCACTCGAAAAAGTTTGTGCTGAAGATAAACTAGCTCCAGGCCATCCTCCTACTGAGGAGCAAGAAAAACTCGAATCCTTAAAACAACTTTATCGAAAATACCTAGCTGGAATGATTGAATTGGATGATTTAAGCAAATCGAAAGAGAATGGAGTTGAACTTCAACCCATTCCAGACAAGAAACTTCCAAAAGCTCAATTATGGAAACAAAACGATATGAAATCTCAGAGACATGGAATGCGAGCGACTGTGTACAAACCAACGGGACAAGCAGGTGTGAAACCCAAAGAAACTTATAAAGGTCAATGGATGGATCACCAAAAACATGGCTATGGTGAGGAAGACACTCAGAAATTCAACTACAAGGGATGTTGGGCCAATGGTAAGAAAGAAGGAGAAGGAGTATTGTATTCGAAAGAAAAATCGAAAAAGATCTATAATGGAGAATGGAAGAATGGTCTCAAACACGGTAAAGGTATCTATTATTACGATAATGGAGAAATCTATGAAGGAGATTGGGCCAACGACATGAGATGGGGCTATGGTACCATGTATTTCATCGATGGCACCAAATACGAAGGAGAATGGGCCAATGATAAACAACATGGAACAGGTTGTACCATTGAAAAGAATGGAGATCGATTTGAAGGAAGTTACTTAGATGGTTTAAAACATGGTCCAGGTATTTATTATTACATTACAGCAGGTCAAAAATATGTGGGAGAATGGTTTAAGGGAGTTCCAAAATGTGGTCAACTTTTTAAAGATGTAGAATATGAAGAAAGTATCGATCCAGAGAATCTTCCAAAGGATATTCCTGAAAATAAGTTACTGGATCGAGAACGAGTCATTGAAGATGCTGTGACTTCGGTACGATTGTTAATGGAGCAACAAGGTGTTTTACCTTTGGTCACACGAGAGAATGTATATGATTAATAACAAGTTACCACTTTAAGGCTGCTGACATTCCCAAATAACAATTTTGATAAATTTATCCATTCACCAGGAAATTTTCGAGGTCGAAGAGAGCCACGTCAGCATTTAACAATCCTGAACGAAATTGCTGCCCTGATTATAAAAAAAATGTCTTCATCATCAACCACTCAAGCTCCACAACAAACCGAAAACAAGGTGACTTTCAAAATCACATTGACTTCACATCCAAAACAACCTTTTAGAACGTATGTAAATAATATTCCTAAACAGTGAAATCGGGAAGTCTCTGATATTAAATTCGATTGCAATTCTCGGAACCATTAAATTCATAATGATTCATAATTCTTTTACAATCGATATGAATGAAATATTGAAATACTCTCAATCATCACGGTTCGGACAAAACCATTCATTCATCAACTGAATTCAACGAAAATGCATCCATTCTGGATGAATCCGAAATTAATTTTCAAAATATTTTCTTTAAAATCTCTCTCATGAACAGAATCAAAGTTCCAGAAAGTGCTCCATTCACAGCTGTCCTCAAATACGCAGCTGAAGAATTTCAAATTTCAGCTGAAACAAGTGCCATTCTCTCCAATGATGGTATCGGAATCAATCCAAGTCAAACTGCAGGAAATGTTTGGTTAAAGTATGGCTCTGATTTGCGTATCATTCCACGAGACAAGGTCGGAACGAATTAAACGTGTCATATTTTGTGAACAATTAATTTTTACAGCTGTGTGTATTTTCGGATCAATAATTCGAATTTTGGAATTTGTACAATTTACAAGTTTATGTACAATTTTTACACCTTTCCTTTTCACCCCTTTCATGGAGAGTAGTTTACCAGTAACACATCATTATTTGTACAGAACGGATTGAGGTCGTTTTGCAGGACTCGACGATGACACTACATTTCCAGTGCCAGGACTTGCACTATTTGTGGTATTATTGGAAAGTTTTTCAAAGAATTGCAATCGTTGACTTAATGGTAAATTATCATTCTTCACAGAAGCATTCGAAGGTGAACTAGTCACTGGTGACGAAGACACTGTTGAATTCTTATTATTCATCGATGAAACAATATCCAAAGTCATTTTCTTTTGTTTCGTCATGGGAGAGTCCACTAATTCTGTATTGTTACTAGTCACATTCTTTGCTTGATTTGTTGTTGCAGTCGTGGTTGTGGCCATCGATCGATTGGTTGGCGTCGAGTTTGCAACATGGCCACTTGATCTTGGTGTATTCATGGTCGTTGTCGTAGTAGTAGTGGTAGTAGTAGTGGTAGTATTGGAGTTATTATTACTCGATCTTGGTGTGGTCATGGTCGTATTGTTGTTATTGTTGTTTAAATTATTCGCTCTTGGTGTTGAACTTCCATTATTATTATTATTTGTATTTGGACTTGTCGTGGTTGAAATATTCTTGAGTTGAAATTGTGGCTTATTCATGGTAGTCTGCACTGATGCATTCACTACTTCTTTGGAATTTAGAACTTCTTGCTTGCTCAATTTGTTGAGTGACAAGTTTGGAGAAGAATTATTTGGAAAGTGTTTCACACTATTATTACCACTACCACTTGTATGCATAGTTGTTGGTATGGTTGTTGTTGCTGTTGTTGTAGTAGCCATGTTCGTATGACTTGCACTATATGGATGTCGAGGTGAAGAATGACCACTACTGCCACTTGTCAATGACGTGTTCGACAAGACGGGTGATTCCAAAGAAAGTGACGCTCTCGAAGGAGTCGACGATCCTTTCGACGACATCATGGCTGCTTTTCTTGGAGATGTCAACGAAAGATCATCTTGACTTTGCTGCTGTTTCGGAGCTGTCGGAAGTGGTTTCGCCTTTCTTTCTCCGCCAATTCCCATCAATTGTCCGTGTTGTTTCAAAACTTCTTGTAATCTCTTGATTTCATTATCTTTTTGAATGAGTTGTTTGTATAAATCTTGAATAATATTTTTCATAATTTCAACAGTTTCATTTTGAGAGGAGGATTCTTTTCTTGAATCATTGCCACGGTGTTTGAAAAGAGAAGACAGAGAAGCAGTGAGTGAAGTGTCCGAATCACTGTCACTTGTCAAGATGGGTGAGGAAATTTCAGAGGTATTGGAGAGAGTGCAGGTCGATGTGGAATCATCCAAATTGGGTGATTGAGAATTATTTCCATGATTCACAATAATTTGTGAAATGTTTTGTTGAAGTACGGATCCTCCTTTAAATAATCCACCGACAAAACGTTTCATTAAATTTGCAGCACCTAATGCATGATTGTCTCCTCCTCCTCCTCCTCCGACAGCATTGGAATCTAAATGATCTCCTGAATTATTCAAATCATCCAAAGAGGATGAATCATTGTGATCTCCCAAATTTGGAGAACTATTACCAAAATTGGTAGTATTTGAAGTTACAGCATTGGGAAAGAGAGAAGAAGATCTCTTTTTCTTGGTCTTTTCATGTTGTTGTGAATGAGAAGCAATCTTTTCACGAACTTTCTTAATGATAAACTTTTCGAAAAAGTCAGAACTCAGATACGATTCAAAACTGTCTTGTTTCAATTGCAAATTAATTTGAACGGTCAATTCGTTGAAAGCATGTTGAATTTTTGTCCACAATATTTCTGGAGTTAACATGGTGTTACCTTCTGACGCCACATTGACATTTGACATTTTTGATTCATTCATACTATTGTTAGTAGAATTCACAAAACTCTTAACGTCTTCAAAATTTTCCACAATTCTCATTCTCATCTTGTCAGTAATATTCAACTCTTTCGGAGATTCCAATTTCACAAAAGTATCAATCAACGATTGTGTCTGTTCCATCATGTGAGGCACCGATCGCAAACTCTTTACATTCTCCAATTGCAGTAAATACAATAAATTTTCATCGCAATGAGTGACTTGAGTGAGATATTCCAAGAAACATTGACAAGCTTCTTTATCTCTCATGATGGTGGAATAATTAAAGTAATGTTGAATTTTAATATGAGGAGAAGAAGAAGGACATGTTACAGTAGTAGTATTGTTGTTGGTATTATTTTGATTATTATTTTGTGTATTATTATTATTATTATTATTATTTTGCGTATTATTTTGTGTGGATGATGATGATGGTAGTGAAGTAGGTGGACTTGTTGTTGTTGTTGGAGAAGTAGAACCCGATGAGGAGGATGATGAAAAAGAGGAGTACATTGCTCCTCCTCCTCCTCCTCCTTCACTTGTTGTTGTTGTTATTTGAATGCTCATGTTTGATGATGATGATGATGAACACAATGGATTCGAAAAAGGAATTAGAACACAATGTGTCGTAGAACAAGATTGTGATGATAATGCGCTTGGGATAGTCGTCGTTTGTGTTTTTCGAAAAACACAATCAGGTTGTCGTGATGCTGATAATAGTGATGAACCAAATGCTAGCCCTGTTGTTGTTGTTGTCAATTTTCTTCTGGTTGACTGTTGACGTTAAAGTTTTGGAGAAGGAAATGGCAAGCTGACGCTTGTTTGGGTTGATTGCGCAATGTTATGCGTTATGAATGGACAAAAGGAAGATGGAAATTGGCAATTCTATAACCAAAGACTTGAATGACATGTCTTCCAACAACAGACACAAAAGTATTGTTTGTGACTCGACAACGAAAGAAAAAGTACAACAATGAAAAGTGCTTTGAAAAGAATACTTTTCATTAATTGTACTACCACTCGAATGAGGGCCCTTTCAAACCTGCAGCCGCAGCAAACAGCCGAAAAGGACGGCTGCCAGCTCCTGCTGACTTCCCAAACTTTGTGGAAATCCAGAATCCTCCAGAATCCGGATGTTTATGGATTTTGGCGGTTGTTTTTGGCTTTAAAACGAATAAAATTTTTAACAACAAAAATGCAAAACAACAACAGCAACAACAACAACAATTCCTAACAAGCTTTGGCATGTTATCCTTGAACGAAATGAATTCAAATGTGGAGCTAGACAACCACATCAACGTACATCCACGAAACGAATTCTGATCTTCATCTTCTCTATGACTATCTTACCGATATAAAATTCACACCATCAGACATCAATTCAGTAATTCGTATTTTTGAAGAAAATGCTATCAGAAGCATTGCTTGTTCTAACTTTTATTTGATGATGAAGAGATCATGTCATTTGCACTTCCAAAATCCATCATCAAAGCAGCAATTTCTTTCCGAATGCAACCCGAAAATGATAATCCAAACCAAAGATTTCACGTAAAAACAAGATTATGACTGAAGATGATGTCAAACAAATGTTCATAACAAGAGAGCTTTGTGGAATCGCTCGCATCTTCCTCAAAGAAAAAGAAACAAATCATAACAATACTGACATCGAAGATGATGATGAGTCAATTTATAGTTCGACTTCAAGGTAGATAAATTGTCAATTTATCCATTATTGTTGTTATTAATGATCGGTTTGTTTGACAATGTATAGAGTTCAATCATCACCCAACAACAGAGTATTTTTGCCTTTTCAACTGCAAGAATATATGATCGAGAATTTTTATGGAGTGGCTCGACAATATTGTGGCTCCAATACCAATCTGAACGCTGAAAATTTCTTGAATGCTCTCAATAATTTTTTAAGTGCCTTAATTGTTGACTTATAATTCAACAAAGAGAAAGATCAATCCACAAGATTACCATATGAGTATTATTGTTGCTTCCAATCACCAGAACATATTAATTATATTGTTATTGGTGAATTTGAAAGAGCATGTCGCACTTTTGCCATGCTTCCAGATGCTGAATATGAAGCTCCAACCATTCATACTCTATTGTTTAATTTGAATATACCTGGTATTGAAGTTTTACTTACAAAAGAATTCAAATTGAAACAATATTCGAATAATGACATTATGGAATTCGATAAATTGGAGCAGCAATGAAACAGAACACATCAACCACACAACATGCTGCAAAATTTCAAAAACAAACAATCCAATGCACATATCACCATTGGAGGAATTACCTTTCACAAACAACAATTGATACATCAAGTAACATTTAGTCACAAAACTTCTTGTGATGTTTCGAGATATAGAAGGTTCGATAAGAGAAAACCTAACACTATCTCACAACAATCAAACTCCCTCTCATGGCAACTCTATTCTCTACTGACTTCTCAAGAACAAATTGAAAAACCAGAAGCAAATCAGACTCTCAATTCCGAATATTTAAGCATTGGTGATTATGTTCTCCAATTAGATGAAAACAATTATGTCTTCATCTGCCAAATTAAGCAAATCAAACAGTGGACAAAAAGGACTAAGAAGAACAAAACCTTTGTGGCTGAATGGCTGTTTGCTGCGGCTGCAGGTTTGAATGGGCCCTCACTCGAATAGAAGAAAGGATCATTCGTCTTTTGTTATCAATTTGGATTGCTATTTGGAATCCGTTGCCTGAAAACTCTCAAATCAGCGACGGATTTGACAAGGGACTAGCCAAAAAAGACAGCTCAACAACTGAGGTATCCAGTGGTTTCTAGATCTTTACTTTGGGATGATACAACAATTCCGTTGAATTTATTACAGAGGTGTTGGTTTAAGAGAGAATATCGTGTACATTAATCCACCATTTCATCATCACTATTATCAGCATCACCAATTTCAGCATCACCATTTTCCAAATAAAAGTTTACAAAATCCTTCAATACTTGATATGGATTTGCTGTACCTTGTGCAATCTGGAACAGGTATGACTTAAATTTTGGGTCAAGGTCAGCAGTTTCTTTCCAAGCAGTAATGACTGATTGTAATTTTTGATTTGGATTTAGTTGCTTCTTAAACTTCAATCTTAATTTTGGCTTAATCATGATATAAAAACATTTCAATAAGCTCTCACAGTCATATCTGGCCTGATATTGAATTGGGTTGTCAATAATCCAATTTTGTGCATACTCTTCTGCACAAAACACTGCTGTACCAGCAAATCCATCCATGGACATCGGGTCTTTCAAAACAAAACCCCATGTTTCGATAATGTAAACAACAAGAGTTTGGAATTAATTGGAGGAAAACTAATGGGTTTGTAACTCGCCAAACATCCATCCTTTGGAAAAGGATTGGTGTTTGAGGGATTTTCTGCATAATTTGTCATTAGACTTTATTGTCAATTGTCAGCTCAACTTTAAACTTTATAACCATTATACTTACCAAAACGTGCATTCATTTGAAAGACGAGAAACATGACTCAAAGAGACAAATTCACTCATCATAGCCTGGATATGGATTACAACATGAATCAATGTTGGGGCTGGTTTGGAAGAGACTTGTTGTTGTGGCTCAGTGTGTTGGAATTTGCAAACCACGCAATTGAAATGCATTGGATGTGTTGATTTTTTATTTGATGATGATGATTTACCTGCCAATAGCACACACTCCACGCATTTAAGGCTTTTAATATAGCCATGTTGTAGTTATTAAGCGGTAAGAACTTGATTGTTCTTCAGGGAATGTAATGAATTGAGGCGGCAAAATGAATGTAAGGCTTGCGTTCAATGACACAGGTGAAGGGATATGGATTACAATAGGTGAGGGCCCTGACAAATCCGCAGCCGATCATGCAACTTCAGGATTCGACTGATCCTGATCCAAAAATAAAAATCCAGAAATCGCTAGAGCGGATCCTCCGCTTTTCCACTTAAAGTTGGAACAAATCGAAGTCGATGTTTTGTTGTCTTTGGAAGAAGACCGTTAGCACAACAATTCATGAGGCCTTGCAACATCACCAGAAGAGACAGCCAATACCACCCAGCAAGCATTGACCCAGCATTATTTCTTCAGCATTGAATTTGTCCCAAAGTCACTTTACACCAGGACTTGTTCCGGTCCGAGGGCCCTGACAAATCCGCAGCCAGAGCCCACGCATCCTCAGCCGATCATGAAACTTCAGGATTCGATTCATACTGATCCAAAAATAAAAATCCAGGAATCGCTGGAGCGGATCCTCCGCTTTTCCACTGAAAGTTGGAACAAACCGAAGTCTATGTTTTGTTGTCGTTGGAAGACCGTTTACACAACAATTCATGAGGCCTTGTAACATCACCAGAAGGGACACCAACACCACCCAGCAAGCATTGATCCAACATTATTTCATCAGCATTGAATTTGTCCCAAGGACACTTTACATCAGGATGACTTGTTCTGGCCCGAAGAAAACAAACAGCAAAATGACCATCTCCATAATCATTGAAGACAAACAATTTAACAAACGACAGTCTTTGGTCTGTGGATACTTCTTGAAACGTGTCGCGAGTTCGACGTTTCTACAAAACAAAACCCCATCTGATCATTACTCTTTACTTGAAATCGACGAACAACCAAACCACCTGGTGGAGGAAGATCAATTACAGTTGTCGAATAACGAATTCATTAAAATGAAAGTTTTTATTGCAAAATCCTGATTTTTGGATTGAATCGGATCCACCACCCTGCAGCCGTTTGAAAAATGAGAGCCGCTGGATCCGGTGCCACTACGTGGGCTCTGGCTGCGGATTTGTCAGGGCCCTCTCCGGTCCGAAGAAAACAAACAGCAAAAAGACCATCCTTATAATCATTAAAGACCAACAATTTAACAAACGACAGTCTTTGGTCTGTGAATACTTCTTGAAACTTTTCGCGAGTTCGACCGTTTCTACAAAACAAAACACCACCTGATCATTACTCTTTACTTGAAATCGACGAACAACCAAACCACTTGGTGGAGGAAGATCAATTATAGTTGTCGAATAACGTTATTCATTAAAACGAAAGTTTTTATTGCAAAATCCTGATTTTTGGATTGAATCGGATCCACCACCATGCAGCCGTTTGAAAAATGAGAGCCGCTGGATACGGTGCCACTGCGTGGGCTCTGGCTGCGGATTTGTCTGGGCCCTCATTTCATCCTCCTCGAATTCAGTAATTAATTTGGATGTGTTTGGTATATCTTGTATGTGTTGAAGTATAGCCCTTTCTCGTTGAATTGATTCCGATATAACCTCTTGGTTAGAGCTGCACAACTTCATAGCATATTCTTGTGATCGATTATGGGAATCCTTAATGGATACCTTATACACATTGCAAGTTGCACCAAAACCTAATAGTTTCAATAACTTTACAGAACGTTGTGGAGTAGGAACGGGATCTTGCACATTACCGTATTTCATCATTGAATACAAATATTGAACTCCTTTGGACGTGTAATTTTCGCTTTCAATCTTTGGGTTAAACAATTCAAAAGGAACGGTA